TATATATACACATTCAGCTTTTACGAGACTCTATGCGTACTTCTGTCTGTTTTCATGAGACTCAGTATAAGACTGATGATATTCGTCTGTCTGCTACCACACAACTCTGTATAAGAGTGACTTTGTAGAACTGGGTACATCAGCCAGCAAAATGCATCACAGTCTGTATGTAAATCTGATTAGCAGTTTCTTAATGCAAATTCTGCTTTATGCCAAAATGCAGTCTGCCTGTCTGTCTGTCTGTCTGTCTGTCTGTCTGTCTGTCTGTCTGTCTGTCTGTCTGTATGTCTGTCTGTCTGTCTGTCTGTCTGCTAACACACAAATCTGTATAAGAGAAGTACTCGTCTTTCTGCTTTCAGGCGAGAGGAAGAGGAAGGGAAAGAAGGCAGCCACGAGCGACGTGAAACCGATTCTGGCCAAGAACGCAACCCTACCCGGATTGAATGGAACCAATTTGCAAGCCGACATGCCCAAACTGTGGGTCGATGAGAACGGAAAACTCGTGGTCGACGAATCCGATCCGTTGAGCGGTGTTCAAGGCCAGGACCCGAAAGATCCGGATAACTTCTGGCCGGACATTAACGGCGATCCTAAAAATCCCTGGAGGAAAGAGCAACCGTGGCCTGGAAATGATCCCCGAGCAGCGAACCGCAGCCCTTGGACTGCAGTCGACCCGAGAGCTGTAAATGCTAACACGAACAACAACAATATCAACAACAATCCTCACAGAAACGAGCCTTGGTCGCAGACGGACCCGAGAACCGGTCGCGTCAACCAGCCCGTACCGAATAACCGACAACCGAATATATGGCCGGACCCTTCGAACCGTGTTGTTCCAGATATGGGTAACACTAACAAGTATTTTGATGTGGGACCTCTGGAGGTCTTCATGCAGAACTGTCCAGATTGTTTCGGTAAGTTGAACAATGATTTGTTAATTATGACACTCGATCAGCGTTTGCAAGTATGTGTTTAGTGACTTTTAATGGCAGCTTGCATTGTATGCTTCCCGGGATTTTGAGATTGTTTCAGAATGCTGAGGGGGTCTGTGGGGGAAATACAAGTAACATACTATAGTATAATACATTACATTGCAAAACGCTTTGTAAAAGTGATTAATGAAACAAGTACTCATAAAATTGCCGTTAACCAACAGTTCGAGTGACTTTGTAGAACTGTGTGCAAGTAAAATACATCACAGTCTGTATGTTGGTCTGATTACCAGCTTTTTAATGTTTATTCTGCTTTATACCAAAATGCAGTATGTACAATAATAATAATAGGCTTTAAATTATAAAAAAAAAACATTGAGGCATGACTGACTGACTTGCAATAATTTAGAACAGAAATAACGGCAGATAAACTGTGATCAACAACCAGCGAAGTCACGTGATCGAGGAAAAAACCTGATTGGTATGCTAAGGGTGTGGCGTGCTTGGTAAAGAAAGGTCGACCGCGTAGTTTGTCCTTAAAGAAAAAAAAATCACTTACACAGGTGAATTAAAGATGGTTAATATTGTGTTTCTTCAAACAAAAGTAGCTGACTCAGGAATGTGACACACATTCCTAGGAACAATGGTACTAAATTTGGCCAAAGTTCGAAAATGGTCTTAGTCGAGTTCTGTTGTTAAATTGTTCAACTGCAGGTTTTTGGAATACTTGAACAGGCGTAAATACCTTGAGCATCTTACCCTCACAGGACAAATGGGAGGTCCATGGGACAGGGGTGAAGCAAAGTAATTTACTTTTAGTTTAGTTTAGTAGAGGTTTTACGGGGCTCGCAGCTGCAGAAGGTCATGTGAGCGCCAAACAGTTTACTTTAAAACCTGGACAGATGGATGAGGTGGAAAGAGCGGGATGGTATTTATTTTAATTTAAATTTTTATTTATTAATTTCTATCTTTTTAGAGCATCCACATTCAAGCAAAGAATTTAATGATGAACCAGGATGACCGATATAATATGTGTCACATCTTTTACAAGATGTTTTTCTTTTCTTTTCTGTGCTAAACACCTTTTACGTTCGTTCAAAAGGCATTTCTGAGTGAAGATTACTGAAAAATGTTGATCAAAGGCACAAACAAGTATAAATGTGCAGTTTCCAAGACCACTCCAGCTTTTGAGGTCACAAAATTTTCTCTCTAAATTTACCTTTGCCACTTGTCGACCCCCACCTAATTCAATGGCCCATATTTCGACTTCTATTTTAGATAGATGGGGGTTTTTTTCATCAAGGTAAGGAAAAATGAACAGGATTTTTAAACTATACCAATAACTTAATTTGTCCGAAAATTGACGAGCGCCTGATTCATGACACATATGTTTCAGATATGGCACTTTATAAGGTCATTTTTAACGTGCCGACACACTGTCAAGAACTTTATTGTAATTGTAGTAAAGTAACTGAATGGGTTTAACTCCGCTATCAGCAAGGGACTTTATATTATGTAACAGTTCAAGTGGTTTAAGTGTTGGAATGAAACTAATTCTGAAAACGTGGGGAAATGAGTTTGTCCGCATCGGTCACTGTGTATGTGAATATTTATGTATGGTGATCTTATAATCCTCGTATATAGACATTCATACTTTGAATTTTGCCTACACAAACTGTGAATACAGCTAGAGTTTTTGTGTAGTATGGTGATCTTATAATCCTGGTATTCTCATTCATACTTTTGAATATTGCCTCCATGAAAAGAATGACTAGAAATTAACATACACCACATTGTTTGCGTGAGGGTCCGCGCACATTATACGGGGTGCCCATTGAGTGATCGGGTCGGGTCGGGGCGGTTTGCTAGCCAGATTGAGGGAACAAAGCGGCTATAGTGACACAAGCCGATAGCCCCCGACTCGTCGCCTCGAAAAAGTAACACTCGTTCGTTTTCAGGCGACGAGTGGGGTGATCGCCCTGTCCCGTCCCGGCCCGACCCGATCCCATCACCAATGGGCACCCCGTAGTAGGAAAAGCTTCCCTCGTGTGGGTAGAATTGTTATCAAACCTGCTCTAACGGCTACTCTATATGATAACTTCCTGTACGAAAGGCCACTTTCTATTCCCTCCCTTACGTATTTGCGAGGCATCTTGGTGAAATCAGGCTCTCTTCAAAAGAATGAAATAAGAGAAACTGGCATTTTGTCCGTCGTTGAGGCAATTGCTTTTTTCCGATTTTTCTTTTCTTGGCTCGACACGATTTATGTCCATTAAAAACACATTCTGTGTGGATTTTACTGAAGAACGGTAATCAAAGGCACAACAATGTAAATGCAATTTCGAAAAACACTCAAATTTCAAAGTCATTAAAATTTAGCCGTCATTTGATCCTTATTTTTACCCCTGAATTCAGGCTACTCCCGCCTCTTTGTATCCCGAATATCTAGACTTCTATTCAGCTAAATGAGTATTGTATTTTTCTTCGAAAGATAGACAAATCAACAAGTTTTCAATTGCTCCAAATTACTGAGCATGCCCAAAAATTGACGAGCGCCTGATTCGATCGCGTCGGGCCATATTTCTTAAATTATAAAGACAACGTGGTAGATGGTCACCTGTCTGGCACGGCCACTTTTCTCCCCAACAATGAATGGCCGTTTTAGACAGTTTTAACGTATCTTGGTATTTCTTGCTATGACTTTGAGTCCCTTTTCGCTCAATTTGACCCTACCAGGCATGGTCGAAATTCGCCTTCAGTGGATGGTTGGCGGGTGCTTTGGTCTGGTTTACTTCTTCTGTTCTATTAAATGCGTATCGTCCTTATCTCTCCTCCTCCTTTGGTAAGCCTGTTACTTTCTTGTAACACGTCTAATCTTCGCACATATATCGACTAACTGTGTTGCAAGTGCCGTAAAACTATTACTAAAACGAAAAACGAAGCCCGTCTTCTAAATAGTCTGTATTATTATTATGTCAATGGGGTTATAAAAACATCAACCTATTTAATTAAACAATGGCCATCAGGGTGTACAGTACTCAAGACTTATACTTTTATGGGATAGAGAGCCATGTCAATGCAATTTCTTCTTCTTCTTCTTCTTGTTCTACTTCTTCTTGTTCTTGTTCTTTTTGTTGTTGTTGTTGTTGTTGTTATTGTTGTTGTTGTTTTTGTTGTTGTTGTTGTTGTTGTT